TCTCTCTCTCTCTCTCTCTCTCTCTCTCTCTCTCTCTCTCTCTACTCCTCCTCCTCCATGATCTGTCTCTTTCTGCGTATTTGGTCCTGAACTATCCGAATTCCATTTCCGTCCAATTACAATTCATCCCCGTTTCAAAGCGGCAGTCACGCCGCGTTCATTTCGCAAGCTCGCTGCCGCGAGGAGCAATCATTTCTTTTCTCTTCATTTCAACTCCCTTCCGCCTTTTCACACCCGGTCACACCGCGTCCTTCGCTTTCTTCCATTTATTGACGGACCAATAATGATGTATATGCGCGTTTTAAGCTAGTCGTAATATATAATATTTATTACAATATTACTGAAATAATAAATGCTTGAATGCACTATAACATATTTATAATATAAAAATTTAATCGATAATTACAGTAAAATGTAATACATGTAATAAAATACACATTTATCTATGAACTAATTTTAAATATTAGACAATAAATCACATAAACAATAAATAAATACGTGATCAATATTAAAACAGGGAAATTGAGAGCATCTTCCACGAACGCTCGTTGCTTTTCAGCGAAACTTGTCTAAGATAAATACATTAAGAATTACAATAAATAAAAGTATAAACGTTTCGGCCTAATCTAAGTTATTTCTTTTAACATGGCTACAATTTACATACGCACGCTCGTTAAATTTATTTTATAAGCTTTCTTTAGTTTTTCGCATATTTGGAATGTGTCAGGCGAATTTCATCTTGTATTCCAATTTATTTCCGATCGCTTATATGAGGTTGTGATACGGAATTTCCAAATTCTAATGATCATAATGTATTATATCGTGATTAATACAATTTCGCGAGTTATTATATATAAAAATTAATACCTGCGTTCTAATAAATTTGAGAAGATTGGTATCGTATGTGAATATTTAAATATTAGATAGTAAAATATATATGCTATGAATATTGTAGATGATAAGAGAGAGAGAGAGAGAGAGAGAATCTTGAAGAAAGTTTATATTATCTCTAAAATTGTTCCGAGTATTTAATTTAAATTAGCTGCAGTGCGTTTTGCTCACAGACATGAAATAGTGCACCTGTGTGATAAGATGAGAAGCATAACTAAAGTGAAGCGGGCAGTAGAATGAAGTTTAAGGAGTTTTGGATGCGAGGGCGAGTCCTTGCGAAGAAGTTTACCAAGGAGTGGAGAAACGGTGAGAAATTAAGCAGATGCTCAACGTTCAACGCCATAAGAGACAATTTCGCGACATGGATTTTTTTTCAACTTCAGTAACGACATAAGTAACTGGATCTTCATCCTCCATTGCACTTTCGCTCTTCTGGCCAAAGTAAGAACGGAGGAGGAGGTCCTCCAATACTTTTGCGGAGCGATGCTTCGGGCGTATCCATCCAGAAGAAAAGCGTTCTTGAGCTACAAGACTCCATTACTCTCATTAGACCCCGTGAAAGTGCCTTTTTTATGCTCCGATAGCTAATCTCACGGCGATCGATAAGCTTTAAGACGAAACGACTCAACGGTGTATAAATAAGCGACTATAAATAACAATTAATTTTAACATGATAGTGTCTCTTAATAATACATCCACCGGCGCTCCACTGATAAATAAAAACTAACAGGAAAAATATTAAAATAAAATCTTATTTCATTCACTATACTTTTAACCTGTAGCTGTTGTACCAATTATAGCTTGTATCTACTTTTTTTTCGAAAGCTTTGACTCGCTACGCTTTGTGCTGTGTCAGTCTGCCACGCGATGCAACCGCGATATTTTCTTTTGTATCCGATGTGTCCAATGTTTGCGAACGAGCGATGCTGTTGACGTTTCTTTGATCACTACGGTTTTCGATAGACCCTTGACAATTATTGCCTCCGGATCTGTCATGATCCTCGATTATGATTGATTAATGACAGATACCATCGAGCTCAAAATTGTTCCGTTGTAAAATTTATTAAATGAATTAATGTTAGCCATGCTTGTTCATTTTTAAAGATCTGTACAAATACAATTTCTTTTTTAAATCCACTCATTTACGTGTATATATTTTTCAAAAAATATTTTACAAACTGACTATAGCTATAACTGAACAACAATCATCCTATATTACTTCAATTAGATTTTGATATTGAAAGAATAAATATTTAATATTTGATAATTATGAAATATAAAGAACCTTGCATTAATTATATGGAAAATTGAGTCTCAGTGAGTTAGTTTTCACAAATAATGTAACTTATAATGTAAACAAAAGATGTCATGGACAAAAAGATCAATAATGGATAGTTTATGAACTGTGATATATCGAAAATGTAAAACTTGTACGCTTATAAAACATCTTAGGTCATCATAACTCAAAACTATCCATTATTGAGTCTTAATGTATTTTATTCATAACATATAAGTTACATTATATGTAAAAACTAACTTATTTTACTGAGACTCAATTTTATATATAATTAGTGCAGGATCTTTTATAATTAATTTTAATTTAACCTATAATTTAATTTTTAAATACTTTCATTAATTTTAATCTATGAAAGATTTGCAAGGAATTATTAACAGAAAAACAAATATGTAAACATTATTGCTAACACAAGTTAAAAAAGTAATTTTATGCGACGTCCAATTAAGTAATCGTACAAAACGGTCAAGAAAAAAAATAAAACTCTCGATTGATCAATGAATCATATTATATTTCGTCCTTCGTTTTTCAAGTAATACGTAACGCCTCGTCGCCTTTAATAATAACTTTTGACCATAATAGCCAAGCAAAAACTCCCGTTTCCTCTATTGGTTTTTCTTTTTTTACATTCACAGGCCAATTTATCGAGGACGTATCGTTTCGGCCAATCATCCAATTAAATGCCCACGCGGCCAATTCATTGCTCGAGTCTTTACTGGAAAAAAAGAAGCGAGCAGAGAGCGTTGATGGGTCGCCCACGTATTCTCGGACGATGCGTTACCCGGATGATGATGCGCCGGGCAGATTATTGACGATGAAGTATCGCATGGTACTGTCAACCTAGCCTATGAATTATCGGCGAGCTCTCGCCTCTTGTGCCACGAATCGAGGTATAATCATCGTTCTTGCCATCGGCGGCATAAACTGATGAGCCACGATATTCGCATAACGCGTTCCGTATTGTACATGCACCGCGGTCGTGGCTGGAGCATCTGCGTTCGCCCTCAGGCCAGATCGTCATCAACAAATGCGCGGTTTCTGATCGGCGTGTCGACGCGTCACCTAACACGGCTGGCAATTAAGAGATTTGAATGGAGATTCGACGTTTCACAATCGTCGGCTTTGACGATACCGGATGGCACCACTGCACCGATTGGCTTCCTAATGCGTACGTTGAAGGGTTTGATGACCGCGAGAATGAGGCGGCGACCCATAGTTGATGCCTTTTGAGATCTCAAGCGCGATAAGCGGTCGTTACTCGATTGTTTGCCATTGTCGATAGCGAGATGCATGATTTACTTAGGATAAATAAAGTTCTATGAAATATATGTATATGCGCGTACATGAAAAGATTAAGATATTACAATGCTTCTATTTTTGTGTTTTTGCTTAATACACGTTTAAATTTTATATATTGCGTGATATATAAATTTTATATAATATATCATTTTTTACTCGTATGTCAACGATTTCTGAAATTAATATTATGTTACTCTTATAGAAATCTAATACTAGCCAATTTAATACTGAAAGACAATAATTAATTATTTACTTCGAGTATTGAAACACAGTTACATTGCTTTTGATAATCAAAATAAGTAATTAATTACTGTCTTTCAGTATTAAATTAGTCAATAGCCAATATTAGATTTCTGTGAAAGCAATGTGTAATTTTCTATCTTACACTGTCAAATCTATAATAATTTATTGTCCTTACCTTTTTATCGATGCTGTAACGATCTGATGACTTTCATGTTGATCTGCGAAATCTGTCAACAAAGAAATTAATAAAATAGTAAGAAAACCAATTGTGTGTATTACAATAATAAACATAAAATTTCTTTAATAGAATCATATATTTAGTGATGATTTAGTGGTTTTAAAATATTCTCTGCACAGAATATATTAAAAATATTAATAAAAGCAAGACTAATTTAAAAAAGGATAATAAATTAGTTCAAATACTGAAAAAATCTTTAATTTTCACTAGAATTCTTTTATTACTAGATTTTTACTTTTAAATATTTTCTTTTAAAGAACGATCTAAATCTACCAATTAGGTACAAGTATGTGATAAATCAATATAGCTCTGTACTCGGTTGTTCTCACGAATATATAGTTGCCGAAAGCAGAAGACGAATTGAATTCAAATGAGCTTTTCACGGTGCGTTTCAATATTCTCTATTTTCGAGCATCTATTAAAATCATTAGCATGAGTAATAATCCATATCCAAGTGCCAGCGTTTCCTCCTACACGCTTATTTATGCTAACAATTGAACTAGCTATCGGACCTTCACAGTCGATCCTTCTCTCGCGCATATATACGCATCAATAACAATCAGGGATTTAACTGGCCGCATCGAACCGCGCTCAGGGGTATCTTCCGATCTTCGTCGATCTAGCTCGCCCAATCTATCCGTCCATCGCGGAGACGTATATAAAAGGACCACGATAGAACGCGATACGAAGCAGTACAGCACGACGTATGTCCGGTGCTGATATCCTCCCGGAGTGATCGATCTCGCGTAACGCGTTACGTACGTGTAGAATCATATACGGCCGTTCCCTTTTGAACGGCGACACGTGAGATCACCCGTTCTCGGTTCGCTGGCAACGCTATAAAAGATGTCGCAGCCGGAACAGGGCGGCAGTACGCAGTGCGAGAAAGACATGTCTACGTCCAAGAGCAGCTCGATGTTGCGTCTGAATCAGGAGAGCTCTGCCGACTGGCAAGACCACGGCGACACTGACTCAGAGGTCAGTGAGAACGACTTCCTCACTAAGGGTGCTTTCCTGCTCACCCCTAGCCACGAACTGAGTATGGAGAAGGCCGCCACCATCTGCGAGAAGATGAACTTCCGGTGAGCGCATCACTTTGGCAGTCTATCTCGTCGCTGGGACGAGGTTTATTTCCAGGATCTCAGATCGTTCAATAAAAGAGACGTTAAATCGGACCCCGATAACTATGACGAACGAGTGTCGAAGTACCGTCGGTTTTCTCTTAGTTGCTTTATCGTCCGCCTTGCATTCACCGATTGTGCTCGACAAGTTTATTGTTATCGCGAAAAAAGATACACGCATTTGTACCGTAAGATTTAAAAATTGTATATTTAAAAAAAAGTAATTTGATTCTCTCTATAAATTCTTGATAATAATTCTTTAGAAGACTGGAAAATGTACTTTCCAGATTTGCAAATTTGCGTATAAATATTCTCAAATATCAAAAGATTCCATTTGACTGAAAATAGAAATCTTTCTCTTATTTGATTTACTCTCATCATTAATATAAATTTCACATTTATATTTAATAATTCTTTAGATTGATTGATTAAGACATGGTAAACAAGACAGTAAACAATACATTGGTAAATAACACAGTAGCTTCCAAAAATTTTCGGTCAACATATAATTTTATAATAATCTTTGTCAATCTGTTTTTCAGTTTATCATAATTCAATTAATAAAATATATTCTTGTTATAATCAATTTAAAAGCATAATATTTTAAGTACTTGAATATATTAAGTGCTTATGTATTAGAATTTGATTTGTAAAAATTCTTTATTTGAATAATGTGTAATAAAATTAATAATTGACTGGAACCTTTTGGCAGCCACTGTAAATGACTGTTTTATTGTGAGAAGCCAGCTAACGCTAATTATTCATGAAGAATTGAATTGTATTCCCAACATATCATATATTCCGGAACAGCAAAAGAATTTTCACAGAATGTTCAAATGTTAAAGAAATATTCAGAATATTATATGAATACTTCTTGTATATATCACGAAACTCGCTCACCCGCAAGCAGTTCACATCCCCATCGACAGAGGGTTGTAGTAGCGATGCATTTACTCGTGAATAAGAATCACTGAGAAAGAATATAAAGAACGCAATGTTTTGCCTATGATGAGCCCTTAAAATTGAGTTTCAAGATAAAAGCAAATGAAATGTGTTTTTGACAGTAAAATTTAGTTTACAAATTAATTCAGATCTCTGGATCCAGAATTTCTAGGAAAATTATAAATTTACGGAATACCTATATATGGAACATTCTCCAAATATATAACAATGTATGAGTAGAATATTTAACGTACTTTTAGTAGATTATTTTAGTGTTCTTACATTCCGTAAATATTTCGGGATATTCTAGAATACTATGAAATGTTATTTTGAGATTTTATGAATATTTCAAGAATATTTAGCGTTAGCTGATTACTGTAACTTTTTTCATTTTTTCGGAAACGAGTACAATTAAAATAAGAATGCAAATTACATTTTTTATATATTAAAATATTTAAAAATTTATAAAAATGAACAGTTATATTTACAAAAGCTAACTATTTTGTAGCATTTTATATATTTTGTTAAAAATAAGTTATAAAATTTTTGTGTAACGTCAAGATACTTATGCACAAAGATCGATTTACGTCACATTTTTATTGTAACTGATTTGTGGCATTCGTATCGACTGTGTATCGCCAAGATTACTTCGGCCTTCACTTAGTTTAATCCGCAAGAAATCCTAAAGTACTTCGTGTCCGATTCGGATCTAAAAGTAGAGTTAAGTTAGCTGGCGCTTCGTGTGAAGTAGTAAAGGCAGTAACAGGTCAGACAACAAATCCATTAAGCCAACTACGTCTGATGCTAGCTGTGAACGTTTTTTGCGTATCGACAATAAGTTCATATACATGGCAGTGGTAGAAATTCATTCGCACTTGCATCAAAGCTGTACAAAACGAACTAACCTTCGTCTATCAATCTAGGTCCTTTTTGACACAAGCAAAATTTCATTCTTAAATTTCACACACTCTCGTTTTTACTCAAATTTCAATTTTTATTAAATATAAAAGTTTTAACATTTAAATTAAACATTATTTAATAATGTAATAGAGACGTTGAGAAGTAAATTTGATTTTTTAAAGTCTAAAATAGTAAAACAACTTGGGCAAAAAAGATCTACACTGCGGAGGGAATAAAAATATGATTACAAACGGAGAGTTAACCGCGATATTATTCTATAATGTAAATGGAAGATTGTTATATAGACTTCCAAGTTAAAACGTTTCTTTTATTATTCATATCATAATCAAAACGACTTTCTATTATGTGATCTAGAGGTGCATTTTCTTTGACGAAGACTGCCACAGGCATTCTCTTCAAGTTCAGCAACATCGAAGACTTTCAGGCGGTGTATAAAAAAGGCTTCCACAAAGTAACGGGCGCTCGTTTCTATAAAAAGGTAGATATTCCGTATTTTCGAAGTTTAATTAATTCTGCGTTTATAAAATCGTTTATGGAAATATTTCATTTTGCTAATAAATAATAGCTAGTAAAATAATTTTGCCACAGATAATTTAATGTGTATTAGAATTTTTAAACTTTATATCCGGGGGTGTTGCATTATGTTGCACGATTATATGGGAAACCTTACTAAAGCCAAAGCACCTGACACAGAGAAATACCTTATAGCGCTTCTGCAGCTAATCTCGGGATCTACATGGATTCTGCACTCCCATGACACACATATATTCTACATATATACAACAAAGTACAAAAGATGCTCAACAACGAAAATATTTTAATAAAAATTTGCAAAAACAAATTTGATGTTGAATTTGATCATATCAACTTAAAGCTGATTGCAAAAATCGCTAAATATTTGCTTTATTCTTGAAAGTAATCCCTTTTGCACTTATTTTTTAAAATATACATTGAAAAAAGTGGCACTATAATCGTTCGTGATATTTGCATAGTAAAATAATTATGGTTAAGAGCTCCATTTTTATAACTTTATTACTGCTATAAATTATAGTCACTTTCGGTACCAATTATATATTTTTTGGGTAAATAGAATTATAAATATAATAATTATTATTAACATTATAGAGTAATACTTACTTATAATTACTATAAAAATGGAGCTCCTAATCATAATTATTTTACCTGCAATCATAATCACAAATGCCAAACATTTTTCTCTCAATGTAATTTTCTTCGCAGCTTTTGTAATAGCTTTTGAATTTTTTCCTAGAATGATATGCATTATAATTCATAACATATAGGTTGCTATACCATGTAGACCGGCGAAAATCTTCACGGTCTACGTTCTAGATGTGCCTGAAGAGCTGCCGGAGGACGATATTAGACACGCTCTCTACAAATATCGATCTATCGTCGAAGTAACCAGGCTACCCCTGAATACGGGAACTGTTTGTGAGTCACGAAAATGCAAATGCTTCTTCTCCATATTTCTCATACCGTCGCTCTTTCCAGGGGAAAACTTCAGATATCCTATACGCGTAACGTGATGGATACTACTTCCCCTTTTGCGAGTTCAAAAATCTTTCCGCCTATATGTATTTATATGTATAGTATATATATTTTACATATATAATTTAGAACACAATCTCGATAAAAAATTTAATTTCGTGAAAAACCGTTCCATATATCTATATTATTCAATGTGCCGAGCAATTACAGTGACTGCCAAAAGTTTACAGTCAACATATAATTTTGCGATCATTTTTGTCAATCTATTTTTTAGTATGTATATATTATAAATTAATAATTTTTGTTATAAACAACTTAAGAACACAGATATTTTAAATACTAAAATATATTAAGTGTCTGTACAGATCTTTATATGTAAAGATTCTTTATTATCTGAGCAATACAAAAATTTCTCATTGGCTGAAAAGAATAGTTTTGATGAAATATTTAAAGTTTCGCTTGTTATAGATTTGAAAATAATTTTATTGAACCATTCAAATAATTATGCAGGACACTCGAGCTGGCTAGAGTGTCAAATCTTTTTATAGCATTGCTCATCATGCTTAAATTTTCTACATAATTATTTCGATAGTCAAACAATATTATTTTTAGAGTTGTATCTATCTAAATTTTTAAATATTTCAGAAAAATCATTCTTTTCATTTGAGAACTTTTGGCAGTCACTGTGTCCCTCTACATTTTGCATAATAGCAACAATATATTTTGGAATTGACTTTATATTTCACGTATACTCGCATTTTGTACGCGCACGTATTTAAAAGCGCTATTACTGTCCGTGACGCTTGATGCATAGAGCTTTCTGCCTTTCTGCAACGTATGCAATAAAATCGTGTGTTAAATAAATCAGTGAAGGCCATCAATGACAAGCTAAAGAGCGACGCGCAGAATCTGAACGAGCCGGCGACGATTTATACGGGGCCACCCGTTATAAGGGTTACCCTGGCCAGTGTGGAGGAGACCTCGATGCTGCTGAGCCGTGGTTTGGATTTTTATGGGGCCACATATTTCCCCACCGAAACGCCCCATCCAGCCGCTCAACCCCTTGCAAAATACAAAAACAACAGGTGGGAAGTGAATTCGTTCGTGCATGCTTGCTTCGTGCGACGCGAGCCGCGCGTGATTCATTGAACGACAAATTCGCGTGGCCGTGTTAAAAATTACGCACGCGATATCGTCCTGGCCGATATTTATTATCCAATATTTATTAACTATCGTTACGTCGAAACTGCACTCAACAATTCGGTATAATCGTGGTTGTGTAAACGTCCGTTATTTCCGAATAATACAGGATCACTGTTATTAATTCACTCGTATAATGGGTCAAAAATGATTTTACACGAAATTTTATATCAGATGGACAAGTTATTAAACGTAATCGATATTTTTCGTGTGTTCGAATTACGTACACGGAAAGATTTTGCTAAAGTATCTAAAAATTTAACTAGATAAAAATAAAGTATCTAGAAAATTTAGATCTGAAAATAATTGTTTTGGACTATAAAAATAATTATATGGAACACTCGAGCGTAATGAATAACAATGCATGAAGTTTTGACATTCTAGCAATTAGTTTAGGCGCGCTACATAATTATTTTGATACACTATTTGATATCAAAGGAGCAATGGTAATGCAATTCCTATAATTATATAACATTTTGTTATTTAACTTCCATTCCATGTGACAAAATCAATTCATTTCTGTGGTTAGTTTCAAAGTAAATAATGTCCATATTAATGTATTATGCAGTTAGTAAATAATAAATTAAATTTGAGTTAAATTTAATACATTTTCTTAAGTTAAATAATATTTTGCGTTATTTCACTTCCACCTATATCAAAATGTAGGTAAATTAATCGATTTCTACACTGAAAAAAAAATGCAATTTTACATAGAAATTACATATTCATGACTGGAAAATTGCCTAAATATAATTGGAAATTTACAATTTCCAGTAAATTTCCAAGCATATATTTATGTAATATATATTTAGATAATTTTCCAGTCATATACATGTAATTTCCATATAAAATTACATGCATTTTTTTCAGTGTACAGTGGTTAGTTTCAAAGTAAACAACATTCATATTAACATATGCATTTAATAAATGATATAAACTAAATTTGAGTCAAATTTAATACATTTCCTTGAGTTAAATTGTTTAACTCCACTGTTTTAGTTAAATTAACGATTGAGGAGTGACCTAGAAATAAATAAAAAATTCAAATTGAATATAACAGTATAATCTAACAAAATTATTTTCAGATCTGTGTAGTTAAATTTTCAGATACTTAATCGTTCTTTTCATGTAGGTTTTAGTTTAATACGGTTGTGATTTTTTCAACGAAAATCATCTACCAATGTTTTAAACATTTACCAATGTTTTAAAACGTTGAGAATTCGAATTTTTTGAAAAGCGTAATAATTGCTGTTGGCTTAAACGGTAATCTTTACTTAAAAAAAAAAAAAGAAAAAATAATGATAGCGCCATTACGCGATTCGCTTTTTTACTTCGTCGTAATATCTTTAATGGAACATAGCCAATAAAATACAAAAGGTTTGCAGGCATTAGGGGGAAACGGCTCTTTTCAGAAAAAAAAAGAGGACAGGAGAAGAGAGAACCCCTTTCACATGTTTCGCCATTGCAGATGGATCGAGATGGCGTCGATCGGCATGGGACAAAGAGTGAGGGACCTACTTCCGGTCTTTGACAACGCGGGCTTCAACAAATTGCCACCTCCGGCGAGCCGTGTAATAAAACCGCAAAGAAACTGACACGTCCCTCGTCCAGCACCCCGAATTCTTCGGCCGCCGTCACCGCCACGATCGATAACGGCGACGAATCGAGGGAGGACGCCACCGCGAAGACGACGTTACGACCCGACGACAATACTAATGCGGACTACCTCGATCGAAATTCGGACACGAGGATCCGCTTTGACGATTTCAACGCGATTCTAACGCTCCATCGATCGCGACACATGAAAGAACGAGGTTTGTCGCCGTACGTATACGAGATAACGCATAAGAGAAGCGAAATATAGGATGATCCCATATTTTTCGAATTAAATGGACAATTAAAGAAAAATTTGAAATCTACGGAAGGACTTAACGTAGAGATACATGCACTATTTTTCTTCTTTCAGACAGAATGACTCGGTTATTTTATAATGTCTGTAATACAGAGAGTATATCTCTCCCTTACATTGTTAAATCTATAGTGTCAAATTTAATCTAACGTGAGTCGCCACTGCTCCTACTAAATAGGGTAATATATAGATATCTCTCCCTTACACTGTTAAATCTATAGTGTCAAATTTAACCTAACGTGAGTCGCCACTGCTCCTACTAAATAGGGTAAGGTTGCCGAAATCGCACCACTTTTTACTTAAAGGCTCATAACTCAGAAATTATGAAGAATGTTCTTAAGTTTTTTACAGCATAATAAACTGCACTCTTTTCCCTTTCTTATGTAATTTTTTCATAATTTTTTTGCGCTATTATAACGTTTAAAATGAGGATTTTTTCAGTATGGTGCGATTTAGGCAACGAGGAAATTCGTTGCCTAAATCGCACCACACCAATATTCATCATTTAAAACATTATGATAATGTAAAAAATTTAAAAATTACATAAGAAAAGGAAAAAATTGAATCTTATTATGCTGTTAAAAATTTAAGAATATATTTTTCGTAATTTCTGAAACACATGATAATTTCAAGAAGTAATTTAAGGAGTTTCTAGGTGAAACAAAATAAACACTTCGTACATTTACAATATACATTTTTACATAATAATGAATGGAATAAAAAGAAATGGAAAAATATTAGGTAACGTGCGATTTAAGAAGTTAAATTATGGTGCGATTTAGGAAACTAGAGCATTTCTTGAACTTTTATTTATTTTATCTACAAAAAAATGTAAAGCAAACTTTAATCCTATTAATTTAATTTTAATAATATTCTAATCACGATGAATAGTCAAGATTTAGGCTATTTAACTTATATTTTCTGTAATTCTGCTATGAAATACATTGAAAAATAGCAACGCTATCACGATTTTTTTATTTATGTAAATAACAACGCTCTTGTTGCACTTCATGTCACGAGTATAATAGAGTAGTATTACAGTATCATGTAGATCTTAAATAACCCGTAAGAAAGTATATAAATACAATAATTGAATTTTTAGCGAGGTAGTGCGATTTAAGAGCCGGTGCGATTTCGGCAACTTTACCCTATATCGTTATTTTTTTACCAAAACGATAGTTATATATGACACTGTATCGTGCCAATTTGACAATAGATAATGTCAACTTAACACTGTAATATAACCATTGTTTTAGTATAAAATAACGACATGATTGAGTAGGAGCAATGGCAACTCACGTTAAATTTGACACTACAGATTTAACAGTGTACTTCAAAAACAGCATAATTAAAAAATGATTTTCGAATTATTACTATGAATGAGTTCGATAAACATTATTGTAACTAGATATTGTAGCAAGAACAACTATTCGACAAAAAATGACCTTTCTTTTTGAATATATCGTTTTTTTAAATACCGAATACGAATCTATTTTCCAAATTGTTCTATCACGCTATAAATTTGAGAAATTTGCAATTAAAGGTGCAATAAAACTTTGATTGCATCACATATCGTAATTATATAATATGACAAAATATGTGAAAGTAGTCCTTTTTTGTAACTTTAACTGCAAATTTTTTACGCACTTATTAAATTCATCATAAATTTATCCGATATTACAAAAATTCGTCGGAAGATTAATTACACTACTACTTACTTATGTTCTCCTGTGTTATACAAACGAAATCCGGTTAAAATGTAAATCCAGCTGTATATTTCTCAGCATGTGTGACCGATGGAGAATCAAGTGTAATGTGCAAAGGAAACTGCATTATACGCTCGTGATTCGTATAGAGCCATTTCTCGACACGCACACGCACTGTAAGATACACCGTGCCGGTTAGCAGGAAGACGTGATTTCTAATTCCCGTCTCCCTCGCATGCAGCGAAGGTTCCTATTTTTCTGTTGACGGAAAGGTCAACGTTGCGATATCAACCGCAATATATATATATATATGAAATTACCGTTCCTATCAGTCGCCTACTTTTGCGCCAATCACGCGATTAACATTACCTTAAAACGCACTAAGTCAATCATGCGCTAGAAATTAATCCACCAGTGCGCCGATAATCAGGATTTCACCAAGCAAAGTAATTAAATATTATACATAAAGTTCACGAAAGCATTCGAACGTCATTTGATTCATTGATGTATCATCATTCAAATACTTTTGAGAATTATAAATTATAGTATAGAAATTTAAACTTCGATAAATAATTTGTTGTCGATGTTAAACTTGCTGGTCAAAAAGAACCAAAAAAATATAACATTTTTATTGCACTGGTGGATTTTTATATGGTTGTTAAAATTACTTGTACGTATTAGAAGCTTTCTTTAATCGCATAAATTATTACATTGCAAGTACAAACGATTGTAAAGAACTACTTTAGAAAGATTGATTTAAAATATAAAGTATAATCCTTGTTTTATATATATATATATGTATAGAAGATTTACTAATAATAATAAAAAGTTAATTATAACTTACGTTTAAGTATAGCTAATCTATTTTCCTAATAATGTATTAATGATTTTATAGTATTTAGTATTATAATTTGAAAATTATTATTTATATTTACTCATTGTATAATAATATAACTATACCCCGAAACAAATACATATTAATATGTTTAAACCATGACATAAATTTTTGAACTCTTAATGCTAAATATTTTAAAGATCATTGTATTTCGTTACGTTATATTAGGCAATTTAAAATAAACAATATCAAAAAATAAATTGTAATTATGTGTTATAACATTTTAACATCCAGTATATAAAGCATTATAAAAAAAAGTTTTTATTAATTTTATCTTTCAACAATATTAAATAGAGATACGATAAATGAGAGTATAAAATGCACAATGTTGTGTTAAGTATAAAAACATAATAGACTTTACACCATTTAATTTATGTAAAAGAATTAAAGTATAATAGGATTTGTCGTAAGGAAAAAACTAAACAAACGACGGAGCAAATTGGGGGAAAAATAAGGGTTTTCTCTTCTTCTGCTTTCGAGTGAATCAAATAATCACCGGCACACATTCGCATAAACGTTCACCACACCGTGGATTTTTTATTACAGAGCGGCGATTCAATAACGATGAAATTTACTTTGTACGTACAGCCTGCATGCGCTTATTAAGAGATATATTATGCCATCCGTTATATAACCTGCAATATTCCCGTTATATAAACGTCCCGCTGCAATTACGTAATACCCGTACGGATAGGACGTGCACTTGATGGCGGATCGTGATACCTATATGTAGCCTTGCCACTTGCGTGAAAGTCGTAACGACGTTATTGCCTCCTTATTAAAAGAATTATGATTCGTACCAAAATGCTGCATACTTATTACTTTGCGATACATTTATTTTAAAATTTCTTGTCCCTCCTCTATTACTCGTGCACGTAAGTGGTTTAAATGAATGTAAAAAGATTTTCAAAAATAAAATCTTTTTTCTTTTTCTCTTCATTATTTAATTCATGTCAAATTACATCCAATTTGAGTTATTTTTAATCATATCTATAGGTTGCCATTGCTCCTACTCGATATGCCGTTAATTAACTAAAACAATAAAGTTAAACAATTTAACTTAAGAAAGTATATTAAATTTGACTTAAAAATATTTAGTTTATTATTTACTAAGATATACTAATATAGATTTTGAAAATAATTGTAAGCAATTTAACTATAGAAATAAATTAATTTACATACATGAAATTTGATTTTAACATACATGGAAGTTAAAAATAACAAAATATTTTTTTATTTCAAGGAATTGAATTACTATTCCTAACAATGGACTCTAACAATGAGCTCTAACAATATTTCTCTCTTAAATTCAATATTCTCTGCATAGAATTATTTTTCAGCATTTGAATATAAAACAATCGCGTAGAGTCCCTTTACAGGAATTATTTTCTATGAAATATAATCGAGCAAACATCTCGAGAATGGAAGAGGCGAGAAAATTACCGTACTAAATGCCGCGCGTTTATTTCTGATTATTTTCGCCGAATAGGGGTTAGAGTTGCTTTTAACAAGGTGAGACTTTATCAGGAAAAGAGCTCGTGTAGAAAGAGAGAAACTTGGCCACGATGAGTGGTGGTCACAGGAGGGTATAAGTAATTCTCCGAGAATGCTATTACGTCCTGCTGCGCCTTCGCTCGGGGGACGAGGGCTATTTCAACGCGTAATATGAGAGAGGGTGGATATGGGAGGTGGTAAATGTCAGCTATGTATGAAAGAGAGTGCCGCCATAGAGCGAACGTGGCGCGGACAGAGCCGGGTTATCCGCTATGGCGGGCGGGATGAGGACCGGAGGTTATCCATGGCCGTGGCAGAAAACTCGAGGGACCGGCGATAAATTGTGCGTCTTCTGAAAAAATCTCAGGTAACTTAAAATATCGTACGTTTTTTGTTCTAAACATATGGGGGAAAATGCCACCGCAGTTACGTTGTCGCGCGGACGACATTATTCGCTGTTTGCGGGTTAGAAATTAAAGAATGAATAAGTAATGACTATAACATTAGAAATGTTTTCAGACAATCTAACAAGCTTTAATATGTAATATATCTATATTTAGTTGTGTGAATATATAATTAGGAAATATTCACATAACAGAAATTTAATAAAATAAAATTAATAATACACTTTAATCTAATTTTCTAATAACAATTTAATTACATAATACGATGTATGTATAAAGATAATACTTTTAATAATATATCGGAAATTATACATGACTATTATTATATACGTATTTTTGTTAATTGAAGATATCCATTATAAATTTTATAATAATTTATTGTAATTGTACAAAATTAGAATGTTAAAACATATGCTTGTATAAAAATATTTAGTTTATTATTTAAAAATGTTATAAAACAAATCCGAGGATAAAAGAAAGAATTACGGAAGCGCGCACCTTGCTCTCTAAAATGTGAAAATACGCGAGATAGCAACTGCCACCAATTTAGCGACTCCAATTTTGATGCAACGTAGATTTTTAGGACAAGTTAAAGTGAGAAACCTAGTTTTGTTAATGGCCGTAACTTTATTTTAGA